GATAATAATAATAATAATAATATGGGACTACACAATAAACACAGACAGAACAATTAAAGCTAATCGCTCCGACATCGTTATTAGAGACTGAAACAAAAAAAAAAAAAAAGAGAAAAAGCTTAAATCGTTTGTGTCAGCCCCACTATGTCCTCCCAACTGAGCAATGGTGAGAGGAAAAAGACCATTCAGGCCTTCAGTAATACTACCAACATTCATAGTCTGTCTTCCATCTTCAAAGTTCATTCAAGAACCATAAAGAGAACGCTGAATAAGTTTAAACAAGAGGAAACATTAGAGAGGAAAACTGGACCAGGAGGTTACAACAGCAAGAGGGATCATCATTTCAAGTTAGAGCTAAAGGGATCAAGTAGAAAAGATCCAACTCAATCCATAAGACTTTTCGTATGTGAGTGACGAGTTTCAGCTATGACAGTCCAAAAAGCAGTGAAAAAACACTTGAAAAAAAAATCGTACGTGAAACCTGTGAGGCACTTTGTTACTCCGGGACAGAAAGTTAGAAGGTTAGAGAGGGCGAGCATCATCTTGAATAAGTTGGAAAATCATCCTGGAATACACACACACACACACACACACACACACACACACACACACACACACACACACACATATATATATATATATATATATATATATATATATGAACATTATTTCAATTCTTCATGAACTTCCGATCCTTAGCTGTGAGTAATTAATGATGAACATGTTATTTTCGTTTATGAAAATTTTATCACAATTCTTATGTTGAGCTTGGAGAGCAATTATACATTCTTATTGCTCAATGTAGAGTCCAGTAGTGTTACTGGACTCTACATTGAGAATTCCTATAAGATATCTTTAATCATTTCTAAGATACAACGATTCAAAGCTTAATGTAAAAATTGGACAATTTTGCAGTTACACCCAGTATATATACAGGGGTTGTTGTCGACCACTGACTCAAATTTGATCGACTTAAATTGGTTACGACCGACAGGTCATAAATGGATCTGGTCGTAAGTCGGTCTGTAATTAATTTTGCAATTATTTTATCTTTCTTTGGGCGTTATTGTATATATATATATATTTATCGTTGTTGCAGTTTCTTTACATTTGATATCATTTATATCATCTCTCGACACATTGTATTGTTTCTTATTTTTATGTTCAAATCAGACACTGCGTACTACAACGCAATTGATCTAACTACACAAAAAGCATACCAAAATACATACCAAAAACATACCAAAATACATACCAAAAACATAACAAGATACATACCAAAAAACATACCAAAATACATACCAAAGAACATCTATCCATACATTGTTTTGTTTCTTATTTTATGAACGTCAACAGAGAGAAAACATACCAAAAACATACCAAAATACATGCCAAAAAACATACCAAATACATAACAAAATATTTACCTAAAAACATACCAAAACTCATACATACTAAAAAATACATACTAAAAAAATAACAAAATACATACCAAAAACATACTAAAAAATATACCAAAATACATACCAAAAAATACTAACAAATATACCAAAGTACATATAAAAAAATACCACAATGCATACCAAAAAATACCACAATACATACCAAAATACATACCAAAAAATATACCACAAAACATACCAAAATACATACCAAAAAATATACCACAATACACACCAAAATACATAGCAAAAACATACCACAATACATACCAAAATACATGCCCAAATACAAAACATCTTATGAGCCACTAGTGCTTCGTTGTGTATCGTCGATGTTGTGAACTGGGAAAGGGCTCAGGTTAGACGGTGGAGTTATTTTTTTTCCACAAACATGGTGATCTTTGTCTGAATTGCTTGTCTCTTTTTCTTCTCATAGATATGGACAAGGCACTTTCCTCTTGGCAGACATCTTGGTGGTTGTTTTTGAAGACAAATTTCAAAGATACAAACGGACTCGGGGGAAAGTGTGTTATTCCGAGGTAGACCTCACACTGAACTTGAACAAAGACCAAAGGTTTTTTGGGGTTTTTTTTTTATATATATATAAAAGTGATTTCTTTTAGTGCTTCTTAGAACCTTCAAAATTTTAGTTAAATTTTTTGTTTCTCCGGCGTCAACGAGGGATCATAAATTTGTACGTGAAATTAGAGCGGCTTGAAAAACACACTGATTTGGAAATTCTTGCAAAACTCAGATAATTATCGGAGTTTCAGAACTTATTTGCAAATGAATTAAATTATTTTAAACGTTACTTTTTAAGAAAATTTTGGTAAAAATATACATATATTTTTTTACATCTGTTAGCCCTTAATTAATTATGAAATTTCGAGAATTTTTTTTTGTAGCGCGTTTTGTGAGCGAAATAAAGGGTTCAGTTCGACATTCCAACCACCTGACGAAGGCCGGAGCGTACAACGGCCGAAACGTTGTAATAAATATGGCAACAAAGATGTTTCAGTCCGAATGGTGTAAATACTGTACATAATACCTCATCTCAGAAATATAGACAGTTACGCTTAATGTTTATGTTAGTTATAAGGACAAGTCCTCGGAGAATTTAAATCATGATTTTTTTTTCGGTCAAACAGGACCTCCAGTTACAAAAACTTTGCTCTAAATAGTAAAATTTAATAAAAATAAGAAAGCTTTTAATTGCTTTTATGAATAAAATATATTTTGAACACTGTTGTCTTACAAAAATGAATTTTTACAATAATTTGTTTTCATTTTTTTAAATTTTAATTAGAATAATTTATAAACTTTTAAATCTTAAAATTCTTCATTAATTTGTAAAGCTCAACTGATATTGTTATATAAAAACTGAATTTACTAATCATAGATGGAAGAGCTTACCACAATTCAGGACACCAGTAATTTAAAAGGAATTTTTGTTTGTTTGTGTATAAACATGCCAATTTTTGTAAACACAGACATCCGCATATGACATTATCAGAAAATAATGGCGGTAGCTGTAGTAAATTTAAAATTTGTAAGTACTTTTTTAACTTTTCTTCAAAAAGTATCGTCGTAAGTCAAACTATAAAACAAAAATACTTAAAATTCAATAAAATATTAAAATGATTAGAATATTTAATTATTTTATGAATACTGGGCAGTTAAAAATTATATAAAATGAACGTTTATATTGTATTTGTCGAGTAATTTCATCACAATTATCTCCTCCTTGCATAAATTTCCCAAACATCAGGCTGTCGATAAATGTGACATCTAAAAACACTTCCGTGTTAAAAAATGGTTTCCAGCGGTATTTTATAACCCAAGTAAAATTTGTTTCAGTTCAGATTGATTAAACTTTAAATCATCTAATTTTCCTCAAATAAAGTTTCAGAAAGTATATTTTATTTTTAAAAGATTTTTTAATAAAGAGAATTGTGTTGCGTTGACAGATTTATGAATATGAACAATTTCATTGATCTCAGCGAAATCGATAAAATCGTCCATATTGACAAAAAATCTAATCAATTTAAATTAGGTTTGAAATACAGTAACATATTTTACTGTTGAGAAATATTAAATTCAAACGATTGGCTTAGAAGTATTGATGATATTGATAGACAGGAAACAGAAACTTGTCCTTTCAAAAAAATTGGCAATGAGTTATTGTCTGAGTATTTTGTTCATTTTTTAAAAATATCTGGTTCTTTATTTCTTCTTTGAATTGGAAGAAAAAAAATACAAATGTTAAATAAAAATGATAAAAAGCGAAAAATTCCAAATATAATAATTTTAGTTGTAAAAATATTGACCAAAATTAAGACTTGTCTTGTGAGAGCGAAGGATAATAAATCAACGAATATGGAAGTTGAAAAGACAGGGTTTTATATCACTATCATGTTTTTAATTAATTAAAAAAAAAAAGAAGAAGAAGAAGAAGAAGAAGAAGAAGACGAGTGAAAGACGAAGAAGAAGAATAGGTAAAGGAGGAAGAAAAAAAGAAAAGGTAGGTGAAATAGAATAAGAAGAGGAGAAAAAAGAAGTCGTACACCCTTGTTCTTGTTCTTTTTCCCTTTCTTCTTCTTAACCCACCTTTTCTTCTTTTTTCCTTCCTTTATACATTCTTCTTCTAGCTTGTCCGCCCAAAGAAGAAAGGGTGGAGAAGGAGGAGGATTAAGAAGACAGGGGAAAGGCGGAATAAAATGGTGTGAAGGTAGAAGAAGGAGGAGGAGGAGGAAGAGGGGGGAGAAGAAGAAGAAGAAGGAGGAGAAGAAGAAGAAGAAGAAGGAGGAGGAGGAGGAGGAGGTTGGAAGAAAAACAATAACAGTAATCATCCCAGCCATAATGCAAAAGATGATAATAATAATAATAATAATAATAATAATAAGTACAAAAAATTCTTCTCATGAGTACAGCCCGCACTATAGTACGAATGGCTTTATCTATGTAAAATATGTGTTTTTTTTTTAGTTGCTTAGTGGAAAATGTCATGACGCCATTTCTGACCTTATGACTCTGGTCGGGACCCGAAAAGAAATGAGTACAAACCAGAAACTAAAAGAAATGAAATAATAATAAAATAATATTTAATTTTTAAAATTTTTAATTTATAAGGACGCACTTGGCCGTGTTGGCATTTGCCAACATTTATATACCCAGTCTCGTTGTAAGTTCGATCTTTACTCAGTGTCCCATCTTTACGTCTTTGTGCGCGAAAATTCAAGGGTTTCACTAGTGCTTGTCAGATGTCAATCACGTGATTTGTGGATGGATTTGGAGTTTAGAGTAAGGTCCGCTGTTAAAACTAAACAAAAACGAAACAAAACAAAACACCTAGAACCTTTTCTCTCCAGAGTACTGAGCGGGTGTGCTCTGTGTCTGTGTGTGCGCACGCGCATGCGTGTGGCACACAACAATGTGTGAGTGCCTATGGCTAAACATGTTGGTTGGTAAGGGAAATAACAGTGGAGGCCAAACGTGGATTTTTGTGGCGGAAGATGTTTAATTCCGAAATGGGACTGTCCATATTAAGACATGTAGGACGGGATAATAGATAGATAGATAGATAGACAGATAGATAGGCAGGGAGACAGATATGAACAGATTGAGAAAGATAGGTAGATATGAACAGAGAATGAGATTGATAGATAGATAGATAGATCGATAAATAGATAGATAGATAGTATCTTTCGCCATAATTAATTTCCATAAATATAAGATTAATAAGATGGCATTCAGAAAACAACGATAAGAAATACTGCCTTTGTTGTACGTATATTGTTCGCTTAGTCTGACACAAGGACACGTTTATCAGCCTTTTAACACGCCAAAGAATTATAGCTCAGATGTCGTGAGAAAGTAAAAAGAAGGAGAAAAAGAGAGAAAAACAGTCAAAGAGAATGAGAGATACCGAGACAGAAATAGAGCGAAAGAATATGTGATTAGGAGAGAGAGAGAGAGAGAGAGAGAGAGAGAGAGGGGTAACTTGGATGAAAATCTGAGATGGTAAACGAGAAAGAGAGTAGATATATAGATATTTTATTTTTTAAACTGACAACATATTCATGGGTCCACTAAGGATCAGAGAGTCTATGCGCTTTCTCGAGGATCAAGGAATAGTTTCTAGTATATTTATAATATATTACACACACACGCACACATAGCGATTTAGTAAGCGTAGCCTACATGTGGCACAAGGACGAAAGTATGGAGCACCCATTGAAGAACGAATTCAATACTTCGATGTAATTGGTTTAGCGAGACAAGTTTGCTAACCCTTACACCACGTAATTAAATATAACTGAGAAGGCACAGCGATTAAAATTGTTTTTTATATATATTTTTTATTGAATGCGTACAAGACATTTCTTTTGTAGGTAGAATGTGTGTAAGAAATGTTGGAATGATCTTTGGATCCGAGCATTTTCGGATCGTCTGTTAGCCATTACCAAGAATATTTTTTGTTTGTCTGAATATGTAGATATTTTTATATATAACAATAGAATGTTTTAATTTCCGAACACACCCAGAACGTTGTAGCCGTGTTCATAATTGATATTATGTTCTATTTATTATTATTATTATTATTATTATTATTAATAGTAGTAGTAGTAGTATTTATCAAACACAGCAGATTAAAAAAAGAATCAAAAAGATTCCCATAACTCCAGTTCAGTTAGTTATGTGCCATGTGTAATACACGCTTAGGCGATCATGTATCTTTCGATACATGACTGACGAGGCAGATTTTTTTCCCGCAGTAGTTTGCTATTTCTTTCTGCGGTAGACCAGTTGCTATCCAAGGCTACAGAACCCGGTCTTTCTTGCTATTTACTCATAGCTGGGGAGACAAGAAGAGGATTCATACCTTTCCCAAGGGTATTAGCACGTAAGTGAATGTAATGGATTCGACTGGAATTCGAGCTCGGCTCCCCGGTTTCTCAATCCAAGTCGCTAGTCGCCGAGTAGAAAAATCTGCACATTCAGTTAAGAAAAAAAATGTACAGTGCAACCCGGATATAAGAGAGTTGGCGGGACCGGAGAAGAAGTCTCTTATATCCGGGTTTCTCTTATATCCGGGTTTGGTCTATTTTATATACATAACACAGGCTCTAATTTGGGACCAGAGAAAATCTCTCTTATATCAGGGTTTCTCTTATACCCGGGTCTCTTATATCCGGGTTACACTGTATTGTCTAACAGAATAGCCGAAATCGGTCATATATATAGAACATTCAGACAGTTTTCACACTGTTTATACTTGGACGAGTACAAGAAAAATTGAATTAAAAGCTTAATCTTGGTACCTTGTCTGCCATCTTTAATTAAATTTGTATAAAAGAGGGATTGCTGTCCAAATACACAATTATATATATATATATATATATATATATATATATATATATATATATATAGGTAACTATACTGTTTTGAAAAAACCTCGAATTTTTGATTTGCCAAGAATCAAATCAATCTCGAGGAAAAAGGTTTTAAAAAGAAAGAGCTAGAAACATGAAAGTCTGTCAAAAAAAATCGCACAGATACAGGTTTGAAGCCCAAAGGAAAAAAAACCAGACACGAGTAAATAACTAACTCAACAAAAGAGCTCAATACAACTGTAGAGCAGACCTTAATAAACCTAGTGAGCCAAGATAAACCTATGGGTTTCACCTAAGCGATCCGCTTAGGTGAAACCTGGGTAGGTTTATCTGGTTTCACTAGGTTTATATATATATATATATATATATATATATATATATATATATATATATATATATATATATATATATATATATATATATATATATATACGAGTGGTTAGAAAGTTCGTTTTCTGACCATGAGACCAGGGTTCGAATCATCATGGCTGATTTGTCAGGAAGGAGACTTCCTGATGTTATCGCTCTAGAGAGGGGATGACCCCAGCGTGCGGCACTTTTGGAAAGTGACTGAAAACCCATACCACGGGTTGACCCAAGCCTTGCGAGTGAAATTGGGTAGACGGAACATTTGGTCATTGTAGCCGAGGGCATGAGTGTGCTGGTGTTGTTCAGATTGTTGATCATTCTAGATAACACGCTCTCTCCCAGAAACTGTAACTAAGGTCTGCTCGATATAGTTGCAGTATAAATCACAGGTTGGTTCTCTGGGTGTTGAACAAACGCAAATTTGCTTAAGGTACGCCTGAATTAGGGATTGGCTAGCCCCCTAGAAGACGGATATCCTCGAATACGAGTGACCAGCTATTATATATATATATATATATATATATATATATATATATATATATATAGATAGAGAGAGAGAGAGAGAGAGAGAGAGAGAGAGAGAGAGAGAGACAGACATATAAATATATATATAGAGAGAGTTGTATATTTAGGCAGCATTCCTTTCTTTATGCATGTTTCATTAAAAACAACAGACAAGGTAAAGCTTTTTATTTAATTTTTCTTGTGTTCGAACAAGAGCTTTCTTTTCTGGACAAAGAGTGTATAAAAACTGTCCAAATGTTTTATAGTTCCAAGCGCTTTTGGCTATACCTTTAGCCATTATCAAAGATGATTCAATTTTTCAGCTTTGAGTGTGTGCATTATGTGTAAGTTTTAGTGTGTTGTAGGGAATATTTTAATTTCCGAATACGGTTAGCACATTGTGGCCTTGTTCGTAGTTAATATTGTTAAGAGTTGGCTTTTTCTTTTTTATTATTAAAGCTTCCATTTTTAATCTTTTTTTTACTGGTGGATGCAGTTATTATATTTGTATTTTTTACTAGTATGTTTCTAATGGAATCTGATAAATGTTTGCGTGTGTTTTGGGTTCTAATGGAGCTGTGATCAGATAGGTGTAACGTAAGACGTCTGGATAAGCATGTGGTTGTATAACCGATGTAATTATTTATGAGTCCGGTTTGATCAGGAACAAAGTTCTTTAAGGGACATTTGATCTCATAGACAATATTCGTTCTTTGTAATTTTGACATAGCCGATGTGTTGTTATTTTGGGGGATAAGGTTAGTACCTTGTCTGTTGTTTTTAATGAAACATGCATATAAAGTATTAATGGCTATTATTTTTAATCCGACATATTTGTATTATTTCAAACGTTAATTTTTTCGTGGATACCCCTATTTGAGCAGAAGCACCGCTTTATTTTAAAATAATGTTTATTACGTCTACCAACCTGCACATTGTAAAAGAATTATTAAAGAAAATGTGTCCGCCGGCATATTAGAAATTGCACCCCCCCTTTGCAGGAGAAATCGCCGTCTGATCCGACGGGCTTTGAGCGCTCACGAACGAAGACCCCCCCCCCCATAATCAAGCAAGTTTCTGTTTTACCGCTAAAGGACATGCACTTTGTCAAGAATTTATTGAAAGGCATATCTGCTCAGTTTCGTATGCGAAACGTAAAGACATCTATCTATCTATCTATCTATCTATCTATCTATCTATCTAATATATATAATATATTATTTACGATTCCAATGGAATAAATTATGACCATGGAATATTAGTGTTTAAGCCTTTTTATTATAATATATTATATATATATAATATAATATATGTCTATATTATATATAATATGTATATAATATATATAATATACTATATATATAATATATATTAAAATATATATATTATAAAATATAATACATATATAATGTATATATATTATATGTTTATTCTATATATATATATATATATATTATAATATATATATATATATATATTAAATATACATATATATTATTATAAAATATAATATATATATAATACATTATATATATTTTATATATATTATATATTATATATATAATTAATTATATAATATTATTATAAATATATATATATATATATATATATATATATATATATATATATATATATATATATATATATATATCTTTTGAATGGATTTTATGTTTTAATCTGACATACTTTTATGAATTAAAATGTTATTTTTAGTGGATGCCCGTATTTGCGTAGACGCTTCGTTTATTTATTAAACAATATTTTATTTTGCCTACTAGCCTGTGTATGCGAGAAAAAATTATTAAAGAAGTAGTGCTCACCGGCAGGACTCGAACCTGCATCACACCTTTGCAGTTTATAAACGCTGTTTAAAATTAACGGAACGTCTACTCAAATTACGGGTATCCACTAAAAGTAACGTGAGATAGTATAAGGAGAAAAGAAATTTCAGAAAAAAAGAGATAGCCATGATATTCTGCACATGTGCACGCATACAGGCGTACACGTATAGAGACGTACATGCATAGGGACGTACACGCATACAGGCGTACACACATACGCTCGTGTGCGCGCAATAAACACACAGAAGAAAAAAAGTCAACCTAACACAAAATAATAAAAAGCGCATCCATTTTTTTTTTTAACTTAATATAAAAACAACGAGAATGAGAAAATTAGCAGACATTTGATGGTACCTCCTGACAAGTTGTTAACTTAATACACCCTTTTGCAAATTAATTCAAACAACCTCTTTAGTTTCCTTTCTTTCACCATACGGTCAGTTTTAGATCCACTGGAGTGACAGGGTGTAATCGAATTCTTTTTTTTTTTCTCAGATTAGATCAGTTGCAGTGGTGTGCAGTAAGATGAACCTATTTTCGGGGATGCACAATGAAATTTGTTTGGCCTTGGAAAATACTGCATCATCTGTGATTGCATCAGATT